GCGGTCCTGGGGTGAGGAGGAGCACTGACAGAGTGGAGCTTGTGTTGAAGGTGGAGAGGGAATTCTCCTCACAGTTCCAAGGCAGAAAAGAGTGCTTGTGGTCACTCATAGATAAGAGCACAGACCAGGAAAGGAGTAAACAACTTGGCCTTGATCATACCGTCTTGGAAGAATTGAAAATTTACACGTCCCTAGAAGTATCTCTGAAAACAGCTACACAAAACCCCTGAAGTTTGGGACAGTACATTCTCCACACTGGAAGTGGACCCCTACCTTAACGAAGAGTTTATAACTCAAGTAATTGACTGGGATCATGAGCAAACAGGGCAAAAAAAGTCAGACCATAGAATCTTACTTTGGTGACAAAAAGGATCAAAACATACAACCAGAAGACAACAAAGTCAAAGCTCTTACATCCAAAGCCTCCAAGAAATATATGAATCAGTCCAAGGCCATGGAAGAGCTCAAAAGGGATTTTGAGAAGCAAGTAAGATAAATAGAGGAAAAACTGGGAAGAGAAATGAGAGTGATGCAAGAAAATTATGAAAAACTAGTCAATAGTTTGCTAAAGGAGACCCAAAAAAATACTGAAGAAAATAACACCTTAAAAAATAACCTAAGCCAAATGGCAAAAGAGGTCCAAAAAGCCAACGAGGAGAAAGAAGAATGCTTTCAAAAGCAGAATTGGCCAAATGGAAGAGGAAGTCCAAAAGTTCAGTGAAGAAAATACTTCCTCAAACATTTACCAATGTACTCTTGCTTAGCATAATTTTTCTTTATTTTTCTTGGTTTTCTTGGAGTTTTTTGTCTGTGTTTTCTTTCACAACATGACTAGCATGTAAATATGTTTTGCATAACTGTACATGTATAACCTATATCAAATTGTTTGCCTTGTCAATAGGGGAGGGGATGTGAGGGGAAGAAAGGAAAAAATTTGGAACTCAATGCTTTAAAATAAATTTTAAAAAATTGTTTTTACATGTAATTGGGGAAAAATAAAAAAATAAAATTCAAACATATATATATATACACACACACACACACACACTCTTGCTTAGGAGAGATGTAATAACTGTCTTCAATTAGCTTTCTAATATAATATATTACAAGCATACCTTGGAGATAAGACCACCACAATAAAGTGAGTCACATGATTTTTTTGGTTTCCCAGTGCCTATAAAGGTTATGTTTACACTATACTAAGGTTGGGGAACCTGCAGCCTTGAGGCCACATGTGGCCTTGTAGGTCCTTGGGTGCAGCCTTTTGACTGAGTCCAAGTTTTACAGAACAAATCCTTTTATTAAGGGGATTTGTTCTGTGAAGTTTAGATTCAGTCAAAGGGCTGCACTTGAGGACCTACAAGGCCAGCTACATGTGACCTTGAGACCTCAAGTTCCCCACCTTGCAATATACTGTAATCTATTAAGTATGCAATATTATTATGTCTAAAAACCCAATGTATATACTTTAATTAAAAATACTTTATTGCTAAAAAAAAAAGTTAACCATGACAGTTCTACCTAAGCTAATTTACTTATTCAGTGCCATACCAAACAAACTACCAAAAATTATTTTATAGAGCTAGAAAAAAAAAATAACAAGATTCACTTCAAAAAACAAAAGGTCCAGAATATCAAGGGAACTAATGAAAAGAAATACTAGGGAAAGTGGCCTAGCTGTTCCAGCTTTTAAATCATATTATAAAGCAGCAATCATCAAAACTACCAGTGGCTAAGAAATAGAGTGGTGGATCAGCAGAATAGGTTAGGTATGCAAGACACAATAGTCAATGACTCTAGTAATCTACTCTTTGATAAACCCAAAGACCCCAGCTTCTGAGATAAGAACTCACTATTTGACAAAAACTGCTGGGAAAACTGGAAAAGAGTATGGCAGAAACTAGGCATAGACCAAAATTTTACACCATATACCAAAATAAAGTCAAAATGGGTACATGATTTAGATATAAAGACTGATACTATAAGCAAACTGGGAGAGCAAGGAATAGTTTACTTGTCAGATTTATGGATGAAGAAGAATTTATGACTAAACAAGAGAAGAGAACATTATGAAATGCAAACTGGATAATTTTGATTATATTAAATTGAAAAGTTTTTGCACAAACAAAACCAATGCAACCAAGATTAGGAGGGAAGCAGAAAACTGGGAAAGATTTTTTACAACCAGGGTCTCTGATAAGACCTCATTTCTAAAATAGAGAGCTAAGTCAAACTTATAAGAATACAAGTCATTCCCCAATTTATAAATGGTCAAAGGATATGAACAGGCAGTTTTCAGATGAAGAAATTAAAGCCATCTACAAAAAAATGCTCTAAGTCACTATTGATTAGAGAAATGCAAATCAAAACAACTCTGAGTTACCATATCACACCTATCAGATTGGCCAACATGACAAAACAGGAAAATGATAAATTTTGGAGAAGATGTGGGAAAATTGGAACACTAATGCATTGTTGGTAGAGTTGTGAACTGATCCTACCATTTTGGAGAGCAATTTGGAACTATGCCCAAAGGGCTATAAAAATATGCATACCCTTTGACCCAGCAATAGCACTTCTAGGGCTGTATCCCAAAGAGATAATAAAAATGGGAAAAGGACCCACATGTACAAAAATATTTAGCAGCTCTTTCTGTGGTGGCAAAGAATTGGAAATTGAGGGGATGCCTATTAATTGAGAAGTGGCTTAGGAAGTTGTGGTATATGAATGTAATGGAATATTATTGTGCTATAAGAAATGATGAGCAGGCAGACTTCAGAAAAACCTGGAAAGACTTGTATGGACTGATGCTGAGTGAAGTGAGCAGAACCAGGAGAACATTGTACACAGTAACAGCCACGTTGTGAGATGATGGATACTGATAGACTTAACCCTTCTCAGCAATGCAAGGATCTCCAAAAGTCTCATGATGGAAAATGCTATCCACGTTCAGAGAAAGAACTACGGAGTTTGAATGCAGATTGAAGCATATTATTTGCTCTTTTTTTCTTTCTGTTTTGTTTTGTTTCCTCTTTCTTATGGTTCCTCCTATTGATTCTAATTCTTCCTTACAACATGACTAATGTGAAAATATGTTTAATAGGAATGTATATGTAGAGCCTATATCAGATTGCATGCCATCTTGGGGAGGGAGAGGAGAAGGGAGGGGGAGAAAATTTAAAACTCAAAACTATATGGAAGTGATTATTGAAAACTGAAAATTAATAAAAAAAATAAATGCTAACCATCATCTGAGCTTTCAATGAGTCTTAATCTTTTTGTGGGTGGAGGGTCTTGCCTGGATGTTGATGGCTTCTTACTGATCCGGGTGGTGGTTGCTGAGGGGTAGCAATTTCTTAAAATAAGACAACAATGAAGTTTCCCCCATGGATTGATTCTTCCTTTCACTTGAATACACAGAGGCCACTGTAGGTTTATTAATTGGCCTGATTTCAATATCGTTGTGTCTCAGGACATAGGAAGGCTCCAGGAGAGGGAAAGAGAAGGGGAATGGCTGGTTAGTAGGGCAGTCAGAATACACGCAACATTTCTCAATTAAGTTTGCCATCTTATATGGGTGTGGTTCATAGTAACGCCAAAGGTCACCATAACAGATACAGTAATAATGAAAAAGTTTGAAATATTGAGAGAATTACCAAAACGATACATAGATACATGATGTGAGCACAGGCAGTTGGAAAAATACACCAATAGACTTGCTCAACCTTCAATTCATAAAAATGCAATAACTGCAAAGCACAATAAAGTGAAGTGCAATAAAACAAGATATGCCTATAGAGGGTTTGGGTTTAGTCCCAGAGAGCAAAACTAGCAGCACTGGGTAGAAGCTACAGAAGAGCAGATTTTGACTCCATGCAAAAGGAAGCACCCTAGGGATTGGAGGAATCCTAAAGCTGAATGTGCACCTCAGAAGACAGTGGGGTCCCTTCCACAACCAGTGGAGGTCTTCAAAAGGAGGCTGGCTAAGTACTTGTCAGGGATATTGTAGGGAGATTTCTGTTCAAATGCAGGTTAGACAAGATGGTCCCTAAAACTCCTTCCAGGTCTGTCTGTGATTTTGTGAAAATCAGTGAGTCATAGAATTGGGAACTGTAGGTGGGAGAGTGGATTGGTAGAGCATTGAATTCAGCCTGAACATTACTATTAAAGTATCACATTGCATTGTTGTTCCTGATGATATCACAGTGAATTATTTGCTCTTTGAATTGTCACAGCCAAAGGTGATCACCATCATTGTCTCTAAGAGTATTAGAGAGTCAACAATATGGTAGGGCTGTTTGGAATGTGTCAGACCAGTCCCCTGCCTCGAGGGTATCCCTTTAATTTATCTCTGAACCCTGGAATGTGATTTTTATAAAGGTTGCCTCCTTTCCTGTTCAACTTCTCCCATAATTCAAAGATTGCTGCTAAAGCTAAAGAGGAGATTGGTAGATGAAGGTCAATATATTCACACATGGCCTTCCCAGACGCCACACTATTTACGTTGCAGTCCATTGAGAGAGTGCTCTCTGAGCACGCTGCACTCTGAATGCCATTTGCATCCTACAAGGAGTAAATCAGTATCCGAACTGCATTGGCAGTTTTGCACATGCTCCGTGTGGCACTGTGAATCCTCACTCACCAACTGAGATTTCTGTTTGTTTAAAACAGCCTTAATGCTGCTGATGCAGGGTGACCTGCAGTATCTTCCCCAGCCTGGATAAAACACAGATTGTCCCCCCACGTACAACACTGGAGGGTTTGGGGATGGTTCTCCCCATCCCCCACATACACACACACATACACATACATACACGTACACACACACACACACACACACACACACACACACTCATGCTAATATAGCTATCCAGGGAGACCATTCAAAGAGACTCTATCCCTATGCCAGTATTTCCTTGGCAGCTTATACCTGGTCCCTTTGATTTGCCTTGACAACAACCTGAAGCTTCAACACATGTTTAATTTTCACATGAAAGGATTTGGCCACAGCTATCAGTGAGTGTTCTATGGGCTCAAACGTGTGCAATGGTGCAGTGTGGTTTTTTTCCACTCTAGAGACCTGGAAGATGATTTTTGCCCAGTCTGAATGGTAAACCATCTGATCTACGACACCATGGATTTTAGCACCTCGTCTATGTTTGATCAGCATAAGGGTAAGCTTGTTTTTCCTTTTTCTTCCTTTTTTTTTAAAAAAATAAAATCTACTGGTCCTCATATATAGCTAGAATGGATTATAGTTGTAAGGCTATTTGAATGAGAGTGTGTGTGCATGTTGGGTGCAGAGGGGAAGGTAACATACGCACTTAACATAGTATGAAATAGATGTGTCCCAAAGGTTAGTTTTTTCCCTGACAATTATTCAGGAAAGAAAAACAAAGTCCATCATGATCTGATTGTGCTTGCTGCACCAACAGCAGCCTCTCTACCAGTTTGAAAAACTGGGATTGCAAGGTAGCAACAGACTTCAGGTAACATTATTTTTATTCCCATTAGATCTTACTAATACCTTTAAAAAAGAAAGAAAGAAAAGAAAAAGAAAAAGGCGATTGGGACAAGGAATGGAAACAGGAGTAATCACTCATGTGTCATTTTGCATTCTATGAAACCAAGATTTCAACTTGTTGGCTATGTTGTTAATTTTTAGTTTCCTTTGGGAATGGCTATCATCCAAATCTGTACTGCCAGGAGAAACTTTCCCCTAGGGGCTACACTATCTGTTACACTGAGACCATTATTTCTTTTACTATCATGGAGTAGATCCCACTTACACATAAAGGAGACAATTTCTATATCAAGAGGGTGTTTTGGAAATACAGATACATCATTATTACACTTATAAAATAATTTAATTATAGAGCATATATATATATATATACACATATATAGTAACTATATGGATTATACATATTTACGTATATTTTATGCATGTGTATAGTATGTGTTATATATTTTTTAAACTTTGTTTTTGTATATTTTAGAATACTATTTATATTACATATGCATAGTATTGTTTTATATATATATATATATATATGCACATACTTGTACATTTTGTGTAGATGAGTAGCATATGCTTATTATACTCTTCTAATTCTAGTGTACCTTTTACCTGTGCATGGTGCAGGAAATTTCCATTCTGTAAATATAAATATAATCCCCTTAGTCAGACTCTCTTTTATATATGATGTCTAAGCTCCTTTTTATAACTTACCGGGTATTTTGCAGTATGTACCTCTGAGATCCTGGGGTCTTTTCGGTCACGGAGATTTGCTTAATGAGGCTGCAAAGGGCCAGGACAATGACTGGATTTATAAACAATCCTGAAGAATACATTGCATTTCTGCTCCCCTCCCTCCCCTTCTCTTTGAGCCTCCCACCACCACCCTCCCAGCCCATGGCATAATGACCCAACAAGCTCCTAAGATTTGGTATATGATATGGTAGCAGCACCCTAAGATTTAATGAGCGACTTTTTCCAGTATGAGATTCATATTTAAATAGCTAAATGCAACCATGTTTTCTTCTCCCACATTAACATTTGTTTTCTTTTGGGGGGGGAGGCAAGTTTGGGGAGTTTTGTGATTGCCTCCCGCACCACCAACCTTTGAACATTAAAGCTTTGCTGGGGGTGTATTCTCTGTGGGAGATGTCCATAGTAGAGATGAAAGGATCACACACTGTCAACACTGAAAGGCACCTGAGAAAAAAATCACCATTTTATAGATGAGGAAACCAAGACCCAGAGGGGTGAACTGAAAATATATAAAGAGTTTTGAAAACTTTAAAGTATACTACAAACATCAGGTGAGAGGAATCATAATGTAGTGGATAGATAGGAAGCCTGTGAATCATGAAGGCCGGGGTTTAAGTCCTGCCTTTATGATAGTTGTGTGACTCTCTGCAAATCTCTTAACCTCTCAATGTCCCCAGGCAACTCCAGAAGACTTTAACTTGCAAAGTAGCTGCAGATCTGCCTTAGTAGAGGGAGTTTCCATACCAGGAGTTCCTCATGCCAAGTAAATCACAGATCTGATCCCCAAAAGTCATCTTCATCATCATCATCATCATCACCATCAAACATTATTATTATTATTATACCAGGTCATTTATCATTCAAGTAGCAGAACCACAACTTAACCTGCTCTTTTTACTCTGCATTCAGATTTTTTTCCACAACATTCATACAGCTCCTGGTTCCTTTTACCAAGAGCCATATCATTGCTATCAGAAAGCAGCAGAAGAGAAAATCTGCTTAAACTCAAAAACTTCTTCCGGCAGCAAAAATTAGATTGGAGAACTATACAATCCAGGGAGGAATTTCATGGATTTATTCTATGCATTAATTTAGGGAATTGTTATTGACCTCATGAGAACCAGAAATTTCAAGCATCATTGCACAAAAAAATAACAACAACAACAACAACAAAACACCCGATAGTCAAATGGTTTTTCCCCTTATTTTCTTCCAGCAATGGAGTACTGTAGGAAAAGCTCTGGTTGGAAATCAGGAGATCTGAGTTCAGACCCATTTCTACCACTAACTTACTGTGTGTCCTCAAACAAGTAACTTTACTCCTCTGGGCTTCCATTTCTTCATCCATCAAATGAGAGTGTTGGTCTGGAATAGTTCTCTTCCAGATCTGATGTTCTGTGATTCAGATCTTCCAGTTGAGAAAACCATAACCTTTCTTAACCCTTCCAGGGGTGGGGAACCTGTTACCTTGAGGCCACATATGGCTTTCTAGGTCCTCAAGTGCACCCCTTTAATTGAATCCAAACTTCACGGAACAAATCCTCTTAGTAAAAGGATTTGTTCTCTAAAACTTGGACTCAGTCAAAAGGCCACACTCAAGGCCCTAGAAGGCCACATGTGGCCTTGAAGTCACAGGTTCCCCACCCCTGACTTAGCTATTACAAAATGTTTCCCCCTTTCTGATGGATTAGTTAGCCCTTTCCAGATCTCCAGGGTTTAGTGCCCAGGAAAAATCCCAAACTAAATGGTACCTTGGCAGAGTTGCTCTGTTATCTCCTTAATCCTTTTAACTTCTTGGAAAGATTTTGGGCCACTGTAGCATGCTAAGGTTTCTCATAATAACCCTATGAATTAAGTAGTGTTAAGTATTATGAGTCTCATTTTATTGATGAGGGAACTAAGGGTCAGAGAGCTTAGGTGGCAAAGGTAGTAAATAGAATTCAGATCCTAACACAATTACACAAATGGACAAACACAGAGGCAAATTTCTCTAGAATATGAATTGTCCACAGAGAAATTCAGTGTGAAATATGTACTAGACTGCCATTCTTCATTTTGTAAGTATGTGCAAAGCATTTATATTCTGGGAGCCATATGAGTCATAAAGGGACCTTGGAGGTCATCCAAAGAGAATGCAAGTCCTATAGTAAATATAAGTTACTTGAAGCAAGTAGTTGTCCTTTTTTTTTTTTAAGTTTCTATATCTCTAGCTCCCAGAACAGAGCTTTACCCAGAGAAGGCACTTAATAACTGTTTGTTTAATTGAATTAATTACTCTAGTCGGATTCATTCGTTTTATGTATAGGAGAAAACTGAGAGAAATCTCTACCATCTATTATCCTTCAAAGCATAGCACATGCACCTTTGTGATTTCCACACCTATTAGTGTCTCTTCTTTCCCTCCCCTCAATAAATTGCCTTATGTTTATTTATCTAACAGCTCTGTGGAATAGAATGTAAGTACCTGGGTCCTGAGCAAGGGTCAAGTTACTCTCTCTTTCTGGCCCTCATCTTCCAGTGAGTGGTACCACTCTTTCCCCTAGCTCCTCTGGCTTGCCTTAGAGTAAGATTTTTTTCCCCCGCCTAGTTGCTTCTTTGACTCTGCCCCTCGGGGGATGAATTTTATTTCAAACCTGCTATGGGAAGAAATCATGGGAAAGGGGAAGTACTTGAGTCAATTACCTAGGAAAAACTAATTCTAGTTCACCTACAAACTTCCCTCCAGTGGAAGCTGTTTTGCTTTTTCTGTCTAGGACTGGTCCAGATCCACCTCCTTTGTCTATACTTTGGGGATGCTTTAAAATAATGAATCAATGATTCTCTCCTCTATACAGAGCTGAAACTCCATTCTGGGAAAGTAACAACAGTTAATCTCTTACTCTCTCTCCCCACTGATCACTTGGGGCAGCCAGGTGGCACAGTGGATAGAGTGGCTGGCCTGGAGTTAGGAAGACCTAAGTACAAATCTAGCCTCAGACATTTACTGACCATGTGATCCTGGCCAAGTCATTTAACCTCTGTTCACATGAGTTTTCTCATCTGTAGAATGAGGAAAATAATAGCACCCGGCACATAGTAAGCACCATATAAATGTTAACTAGTATTAAATAGTCATAATAAGAGCACCTACCTTGCGGGCTTGCTATGAGAATAAAATAAGATAATATTTATTTAATTTTTTTGTTGGGCCAAAATTATACACAAAACGTAATTATAATAGAGACCTAAAAAGAAGAATGGTTTGGGTATATAGCTGGGAAAATCATAGCTATTCAGGAGATTCATCAAAAGCCATTTTCTCATAACCCGCAGCGCTCCAGTGGAGATAGTCAGGTCACTAGCATTAGGACTGAGGCTTTTCTGACGTTAGCAATCTGACTTTTTCTCAACTTATGAGAAGATTCAGCAGACCAGGAACTTTCTGAGGTTCCACAGCAAGGGCATTGACAAAGAACTAGGTGCTCAGGAGAATAGTGTCTGGGATTACTTGTGTATCTTTCTCTGCACCCATCACGACATAAGAGAGATATAACCTGTTTGGTATTTAAAGTTTTTCACAACCTACCTTTCTGGACCTATTTTACATTTAATCCTCTCCACACCCTTTAAGATCCAGCCAAACTAGGCTCCTGCTGTTCCTCAGAAATGACATTTCATGTCCCACCTCCATGCCTGTATCCAGGCTGTTACCACGCCCAAGCCTACAGTGCACTCCCTCTTCATTTCATTCTTGGTATCTCTAGTTTGCTTCGATGCTCACTTCAATTGCTACCCTCAAATTAGGTCCTCCCTGATTCCCTCCTACTACTCCATCCTGCCAAAATTGCCTTATATTTATTTTGTATATATTTATGTGTGTGCATATTCACTCTCACAAAACTGTAAGTCCTCAAGGGGAGG